GTACTCATCAATGGACATGCTTCCTTTCTTCAGGGTTAGGAACTGGTTCTCTAGCTCGATAAGGTTTTGGGCTGAGCAGTACTTGCGTTTGAACTGCACCAAAAATTCTGCCCATGTTAGTTGCAGGGGCTCATTAGGGCTCAAGGTCTTCCCCAGGGTATTCCACCAACGCACAACGCCCCCTCGGAACTGACGTACAGAAAATGTAGTCTGTAGTTTGCCTCTACAACCACACGTCATGAAAGCTAACTCCATTTCCGAGATCCAATCGATGACCCCGATTGGATCTTCCTTTCCAGAGAAGGTCGATGGCTTGCAAGTCAGAAAATCCTTGTACTTTCATCCATTCCTCTCGACTTCGTTATCTTGTTTGTTTTGTCGAACTATCGGTGGGTTGACTTGACCAACGGTTCCACTGTAGTTCTTGCCATTTTGGTCTATACACCGAATAAGGTGAATTTAGATCTTTATTTAGGATAGCCGTTTAAACCGTCCTTATCACTCCGAAACGTTTACATGTTAGTTCTAATATCGTAGCCGTACGTTTAGAATCCTAAACACATAAGGTTTCCAGATCTGGTCGGCAACAGACCATAGATCCGAACAAATAACCGCATATCAGGCACAAAGCATTTAGCACATAAAAGCATTTTAGGCATAATTCCTAAAATATGCTAGTGCTCACACCTCACAATCATCGCTTAGCATTCTAAGTTTAAGTCTAGAAATCCTACAAATTCCTAGTTCGCTTAAACTAATGCTCTGATACCAACTGTGACATCCCCATTTTCACGGCCAGAAAATACCGATTTTTGTTTATGCTTGTTTGAAAATCAGAGTAACATTTTAAATAAAAGTGTTGCGGAATTTGTCCCAAAACAAAATATGATAAAGATTTATCAAAAGCATTTCCAAAGAAATGTATTTCATTAAAAGACTCGGGATGTCATGTTCGATACAGATCAAAAGCATAAACAATACAACATAAGCCTTACTACATTATTTCGTATTTACATGCTTATAATCCCTTATCTCTCATCCAAACATCTATGCTCATGCGCCACTACCTATAATACAAGAAACTGAGTGGGTCAGGCTTGGGAGCCTGGTGAGCACATAGGGTTTTCAACCCACAATAAATAAGTTTATTAACTTTATCAAACCAAACAAACCCGATTACCCGTTCCCGTTATCCTCACTGTACGTCCCTAAAACATCTAACACAAGGGACCTAGTCGAAGGACTTTAATCGGGGTCACAACACATGCTTCGAGGGTTCCTCAGCAATTCATGTCAAATAAGGCAACCATGTGGGGGATGGAGTACTGCTGGTAAACACACAGTTCAAATAAACACCTACAGGTTGCGAGTCTGCTAGAGTTCCACTGGACTGCCTAGAATAGTCTGTGGTTGTCATCTATACTCCGCTAGATGACTGGATCATCAATAACATCTATAATGAGGCCTCTCATTATTTTATTTTGTCACACAGCAACTATTACATCTACCCAGGTTTTACCCAACACATTTTGTAGATATAAAATACATATACAGTTTAAATCATTTAAAACATGTATAAAATCGTTCATCCAGCATAGATAGCAAGTATACAGATAATATACACACACAACACGTAATTTATATAAAATACTTCATATCTATGTGTAAGCTGAAAGTAACTATGCACTCACATGATTAGGTGGTGACTCGGTACTCGGACAGCACGTCGTTATCTCAAAACAATTTTCCCTTGACAAAACCTAGTATCAATACCAGTAGGGTTTAGTCTAACGTTAACCGCGACTAATTAATAGTCTAGCTATTATTATTGTTGTATAAGCGTTAAAAAACACTCTATATAACTCATAATAATATCCCAAATAATTATTTTAAGTTCCTAATAATGTTACTATAATTAAATAAAAGCTATATTAAAAATAGCGTAGGCGTAGCTCACTTACAGCGGGTTTTATAGAAAACCGGGCTTCGCTTGGAGCAGCGGTTCTGAGCCGAAAGCTCTTCTTCTCGGAGCTTCCCGGTGCTCCGGGACTTGCTTCTAACACCTTGGAGGTGCTAGGGAAAAAACCTTGAAGGTTTGGGGGTATTTGGGAGGAAAGAAGTGGAGAGTTGTGAAGAAAATGTGAGATTTGCGCCTCTATTTATAGGCTGCCAGCGCCGAGTACGCTGAGCGTAATGGGTTTCTAAGGGTTACGCTGAGCGTACTCAAAAGTACGCTGGGCGTAATGTGCCACGTGTCACCATCTGGTGGCTAGCCTTGGGGAGGAAGCAACGGTTGTGATCGCGCCACGTCACCCAAACTCGCACAGCACCCTCCCGACTTAGAAAAATCATAACTCTCGCATACGAGCTCCTTTTTGGACGTTCTTTTATCTACGTGTAGGTAGGATTATAATATACAACTTTTGTTTAGACTCCGTCGGCTAATTCTCAACCGATCTTAAATTTAACAGTAGGAGGAGATTAGACTGTTAAATGACCGCGAAAAATTCGTAACTCCTTCATACGGACTCCGTTTTCATCTGTCTTTTTACCGTTGAGTTCCTATTAATGAGATCTTCAACTCTCATTTAGGTCGCGTAAGCCAAAAACCGCTCGAACTAAAATTCGAGTTTCGGGCCGTGCACAGCTAAGCCAAATCTTATAAAAATCATAACTTCCTCATACGAAATCAGATTTGGGCGTTCTTTTTTGTATGTTCTCGGTTTAACGTATACTACAACTTTTGTTTAGATCACTAAGGCCAAAAGTCGCTCTATCGTAAATTCACTATTTACGCTTCCCGGTGCCATGTCAGTTCCGTCGTGAAACTTCGACGGGTCATAACTTCTTCGTTATAACTCGGATTTCGGCGTTCTTTATATCCCCGGAATCCTTGTTTCGACCACTACAACTTTATGTAAAGATATCGGGCTTATCTCACACTTTAATTTTGACGCTTATTTTATCCTTTATTTATTATATATATTTATAAATAAGTAATAAGCACACAAATACACATAATTCACATAATATTCAAATATTTCATCTTTATTACTTCAAAAAGAGTTACAATAGTTGACCTAGACTATTACATCGTCTAAAAATGCTTAGACCCGAAACCCGGGCGTTACACAAGGAAACTCCGAATCTCGGATGGAGACCTCGACCTTGGCCGGATCGACCAAAATACCCTTCTGGTTGACAAGGTGCCCAGAAACTACACCATGCACAACTAGAACTCACACTTGGAGAGCTTCACGAAAACTCTCTCCTTCCTTAAAGTCTCCAACACTTCCCTCAAGTGATCCTCATGATGCTCCCGAGTCTTGGAATAAACCAAGATATCATCAATAAATACAATCACAAACCGATCCAACATCGGCCTGCACACGCAGTTCGTGAGATCCATGAACGTGGCTGGAGCATTGGTGAGCCCAAAAGGCATCACCACAAACTCGTAATGACCATAACGAGTCCAGAAAGTTGTCTTCTGCACATCCTCCTCTCTAACTCTCATCTGACGATAACCCGATTGCAAATCGATCTTGGAAAACCAAGATGCACGCTCGTCAAAAAGATCATTAATCCTCGGGATTGGATAATGGTTCTTAACCGTTACCTTATTCAGCTCCCGGTAGTCAATGCACATATGATGAGACCCATCATTCTTCTTCACAAACAAGATCGGTGCTCCCCAAGGCAAACTGCTCGGTCTAATGAATCCCTTTATGTAACATTCGGAATGCATGTATTTACCCTTTTAACCCTTGAAATGAAATTTATTTGCAAAGGAGGTCCCTACGTACGTTGGGCGTACATATGTGTACGCTTAGCGTACTAGGGTGGTTTGGACGCGAACATGTACCACATACGCGGGACGTACGTGGTTCGTATGTTCATGGGTCAGATTCCATAAATAAAATTGATAATTAAACATGAATAAATTCTTGATGCAAACATATCCGGATTTTAGAAACTTATGTCTTAAACATCCAAATGAATATTTAAAACATTCATGGAAACATGTTCAAACTAAAACATTAATACTAACATAGATAAATTCAATCACAGGCGTCGACGTCGTTAGATAATGATTCAATCGTTCATGTCGCCGTTCTTGTGAGATACTGAGATTATTTAGGGCAAACGTCAAACGTGATGCAATGCAAATCAACAGATGGTTACTCGCGGGTCAAATGGTCAATGATATTGGGTATTCTATCGTAGTATAAAGTATAAACTATATAGTGTATAATTATTGAGAAACTCATATATGACCTGTTTAATAAATGGGTTGACGGGTTGAAAAACTCAACCCAAACCCGTTTATTTCGTGTCGTGTCGAGAATTGTCAGACCTAATATCAATACAAAACCATTGTCTAAGGATACATTGCACCGTAATCGTTTAGTGATCATAAGTAAAATCACAATAGAGGATAATCTTAATGTTAGAATGTTTTTTATTCTCTAAATTTGTATCTATCTCATTTCATTTCTTAATCGTAGTGATAATTTATGCAACACGTATCAACTCATATTTAAGTTTAAGTCATAACTATACTTACGCATTTTTGCATATTTTGTTAATAGTAAACACTATGGATACGACTTGTACTTCCGCTATTACAATTCATCATGTAACTTGTCTAGGTTTATATTTCATATTTTTATTTGTTTACTTGGACAACCAATACTAAAGTATGTCGGCAAAAACTGACCCGTACGATCTATTCGTTTGCTAAAAGAGACATTTTTATTTTGGTCTAGTATAAAAGAGAAAACCTAGCCTATATAATTGTATATTTAAAAAAAATGATTTATGATTTTAATTAGTAATTCTAACTTGCATTTTTTTTTTTAAATATAACAACGTTTATGGACAAAACAAAACCAAAAAACAACCATGTTGAATGATCTAAGAACCAAAATGAATAACATAAACATAAAGTATCATGACAAGACATGAAGGTCAAAGAGCAAATAAGCAACCAAAAGGCATTTACACATAATAAAACCATCATTAATTTGCCAAACTTCAAATACAAGCATACAACATGAAAACGTGTTGCATATACTTACATAAAGATCTTTCTCCATTCTCCAATACTAAGAAACTTACATGATTAAAAGCCATAGTTGGATATATATTATCACAATAATTTAGAATCAAGAACGTACTAAAATGCTTTGATTTGTTTGTTTTATCGAATGATGTCTAAGCCAATATCAATAACTCATAATCACATGCATTTTAGTATATTCTTGACTTGATATTTATACGAGTAATCATGCAAATAGACAAAAACAACACAAAACCATAGATATTTCAAATTTAACTTATACTTAAGCCACACCATTGTTGGAATAGTCTTCATCCATTAAGCTTTTTTTCCTGATCACCAAATTCCGTATGTAAGAACAAATGAATGAGATGTTACATCAAGAAATAACCTTAACTTATCGTTTTATATGCATGATTAGAAGGAGCTAATTACCTTGTTTATGGCGCTTCTGAGTTAAATGAGAATGAGGATGCTTGTTGAGATTTCCATGGCGAACACCACCGGGTCGGTTTCGGTTTGGTGGAGGCCTATGAGAATGAGTTTCAGGTCCACGATAATCGATATCATAAACTTCTGAACCTAATCCATGCTTATCTGCACAATTAACCAGAATCCTCATCAAATTTAATTAGTCTAACGATTCAGATCGACGAGGAATGAGAAAGTTTATATATAGACGCCAGAGAAAAGAGATAATGAGTTTAATATGCGACTTTACTGATGAATCATATCAATCGGATGAATGATGATTTATGAATAGTAAATTCCATCACATTGCGATAGTAAGTAGAGCTAGATTAGCTCAGATTCAAGTTTATAAGAAGTTATATATATCCAAAATCAGAATTCAAATACCTACGAGGCGGATTTACGGAAAGCACAAAATTGATTTGAGCATAAAATTCCGAAGAGACGTGCAATTCGACGAATTAAATCTCTAGACTGGTTTAATCATGCGGAAAATCATATGATTCATTAGTCATTGATGGTACCATCGGTTAAATCGCTTAAAAAAATCAATAACTCTAAACGAAAATCGTGGAATATCAACAAACTTTAATTTCCTGTTTTGATGTGACGAACGAAATAGAGAGAAATGAAGCGTAATCAAACAAACAAACCTTTGGAGAAACCAGGCACTGCAAGTAGGAGGAAGATGATGAAAACAGTAGTCATGCAACTCTTCAGATCCATCGCAATTCGCAAATGTCAGAGAGAGAGAGGGGGGGTGGTGGTGATAAATGCAAGAGAGGAGTGTAATGACGGAGAAGCGTGGTGGTGGATGGAGGAGGAGGTAATGGGCGTCTCTATAAGCATTTGAAACCGTCACCATCTTCACAGCCTATTACTTGCTATGATGTGTAGTACTCATCTTAGACTTTATTTTTCAAATTTTTTATTATTCATGTTTCAGTAAAAAACTAAAAATCATCTTACGTAATTTTTACATGCAGTTTTTTTTAAAAAAAAAAAAAATTCTAAAACGATATTGTTTTATGCATTTTCGCAGGTAAAACCTAGGAAAAAAAATTTAAATTTTTTTTTCGCAACTTTAAAAAAGTAAGATAAATTTATCGTTTTCTCCCAAATTAATAGAAACATTTTAGAACCGACCATCTCCATCAAGAGCTTTAAGGACTCGTTGCTTATATATATATATATATATATATATATATATATATATAT